CGGAACATTCTGCAAATATATTTTATCTATTTTTTTGACCACTGTTCATTGAGTGACGACCAAAACACACGGTTTTTGAGAAAAGTTGCCTAAAATTGACAATTTTTAGTTTTTTTGTCTGAAAATTAAACAAACCCAAATTTCATGTCTTCTAAATGTGTATACAAAGTTTAAAGTGTGTATGTTTCTTCTAAGTTGTAGAATTCTCCCGACAAAAGTCCCATTACACGCGCTCCGCGGGATCCAAAACTCGTGTATACACTACATTACTGTAATTTGATTTTTTTTGCGATTTCCAGTTTTAAATTTCTTGCATATCTAAATTTATTAGGCTTAAAATTTATTAAATTGTATTTTACTGACTTGCTATAGGACGTTTCTTGAGTTTTGTGCAAAATATAGAAATGCCAGATATTAGCGAACAAAAAGCAAGCTTATCACCAAGTTGGAACTTACACTCAGGCTTAGTTTCCTAACATTTTTAAAATATACCTTTTTGTGTATTTTTTTGTGCTCTTTTCGATGGGGAAGTTAGTTTTTCAAATATATTTATTTTGTTAGATGTTTTCGGAAAACCCGGAAAAAATCAAATGGGAAAAAATTAAAAAAAAACTACGCCTCTGGTTTCCTGCGAATTCCCGAAAAATTATGTCAGATTTCGCCGCGGGACTTATTTTATTTGAGAGCCAACAAAAATACGCAACTTCTTTCATGGGCACATATGTCTAACATTTATAATTTCGCCACAAATTCATCGCAAATTTCATGTCCATGGTTCTGATCAAAAAAACGAAAAAACACTTTTTGGTAAAAGCACTTCTGGCGGCGAGAAATTCGCCATTAAAACTACCTGTGCAATGAATTTCCGAACTATTTTTGCCTCCTCTTTCGAATGGTGCATTTATTTTCACTATCGGAATGATACTTGCCCAGATAATTAGCATTTTTACAATGGAAAATTCCGGAAAACCCGGTTTTTCCTAATTTAAAAAAAAAATTGAAAAACTGCTACATCTTTTTTTTTTCTTTTTTTCGGAAAGATCACATCAAAATACACAAGGTCCTTTTTGTTTCATCCAATTACAAATTAATGTAAGCTCGAAGGGACTTTTTTTCGTTATTTAATTGGACTATAAGTATAAAAAAATTTGGAATGTTAAGAAAAATATATTAATAAATGTCCAATATTTACCTTTTAATGCGTGATATGAGCACTGTTTTAATATGTATTTGATTCATAAAAGTACTTGATTGATTATGTCAATTATTAATCTATATTTTTGTTATAAATTGAAATGTTTGTTTTACATACTTTACACGAAAATCAAAAAATCTTAGGTTATAATCATCAAAATTCGCAAGTTTTAACTAAAATTTTTCTGTAGTTTATGCGTAATCTGCAATTTTTTTTTGTTTTTTATACAGGGTGTTAAAAAAAGTGTCACAAAATAAAATGATGAATAATATGACCCAAAATAAGCAGAAAAGTCTTAATAAATATATGACCGCAAATTAACGGTTTCGGAGATACGGACCATTTTGTGTTTATAACAATTTTTTATTATTATAAAAAAAAACAATGATATTTATAAACAATCAATAACAACATAGAGTTAAATGAGATGTTCAAATACTGACGTAGCGCTTCCCTCGCATTGCCATTTGCACGACCGTACATAAAATGCATGTCAGCTAATTCAATATTAGTGTAAACAGGCATAACGAAAATTTATAAAATTATTCACCCACAACAAAATAATAACTGCAAATAGTATCTATGAAAAAACATCGGTAAACTCCGATAAGAAAAGAAAGTTTTTGAGAATGAAAAAAGATAATCAAAAAATGATACAAAACACAAAACACTCCGTATCTCTGAAACCATTCATTTGCGGACATATGTTTATTAAGACTTTTCTGCATATTTTGGCCCATACTACCCCCCGTTTTATTTTGTGACACTTTTTTTTAACACCCTGTATATACACTTAATACTATTTTCTAGTTCAATTTTTTTTTTTCAAAATTCGTGTGTCCGTTACGTTTGCAGGAAGCTGACGTTCTTTAATTAACCAAAGTAGGATCTAGTCATGTAAGTAATACAAATAGTAGCCAATTTTTGTCACAAAGTAGGTATTTATTTATTGTTTTAGATCAAGAAAATGGCTTTAAAACGTTAGAAGGAAGATTTGATATAGAAAAAAAAAATCTGAATTCCCATTATTGAGTTTGCACTCAATATTTTTAAATAAGACACCATTGGCCATTCATTTGGAAAATAAGAACAAATATGTTAATATTACAAATAACGATCAAAAATTAAAAAAAAATATTTGTCTTGAATAGATTTACAATAATTAATCGATAATAGACTGTAAGTGAAGTTTTCTTTTAAATAAATAATTAAGCGTAATTACATTGTTTAAATTTAGTTACCAGAACGTGAGAGTTCAGCCAATATTTATACAACCTTTATTAACAGGTTTTCAAATCTCTCGCTGCGTTGTTTGATATCAGTGAAAGCGCTACGTAGTGGGTCAGATGTTAATTGCGGTAAAGCTGGTCGTTGTTAGGCATTGGCTTCTTATGAGCGTTTCCTATCTTTATCTCCCTTCTCTCTGGAACAGATGATACCGCTACAGGAGTAAACCTATTTCATAAATTGCCTTGTCTAAAATTGATTTTATATGATTTCAGTGATTTCGCCGAAAATCGACCTAATTTTTTTTTAACTCTTCCCTTGTTGTGTTGAGCAACGAATTAATTTCGGTGATGCTTTCGACCATAATTTTCAATAAATATTTCGGAAATTTCGACAAAATTTGTAGTGATTTCGGTTGAAAACGTACCAGTATTTCCGAAGTGATTCATACCTCGTTTTTAACCTTGCCTAACAAGATACAACCATCTTTAACACTTCAAAAGTTAATGAGCAAACAAAACTGTACCTTATCTGACTTTGAAAAGTAGCTTGTCGTGTTTTTGCCTTCTACTTGTAGTTGGATATAATGGAGAGAGGAGTTACATATAGTATGTCTTGGTGGTGGGAGCAATCGTGTAATTTGTCAAATTCAAAGTAAAATTGTTTATCAAAGGAATTTTCGTTTTTTGCTTCTACACGTCTATACCATAACAATAAAATAGTATATTGTGCCACATGTTGCACACTATACTTTTTCTACAACTGCACAAATTTAAAGAATACAAAAGTAATGTAACTTAATATTTATTTTTATGGTTAGCAAAACTAAAATAACATTAAAGGTAAATAATTTATTTAAAATTATAGTTAATAGTAAAATTAGTACAAATTTATATGGTCAAACTCGAAATGTTATTTCTTTTTAGGAAGGTTTCTGTTATATTAATTGTAGAAGTTGAGGGTTTATCGTTCATATACAGTGCATTTATGTCTCCATTTCAGTAAAGAGTTCGAGTGTTTTTTCAATAGAGTTGACGATTTTATTAGCAACGTCAACTTTATTTTTAATAGACTCTCAACGTATCCTTCTGCCACGGTACTGGATTTCCATTCCCCATGGCGTTTTAAGGTTAATATGTCCCCTCTTGCATTTACTTAAATTGTTGCCGAAGAACGTCTGAAGCAGTGACCTGTATATAGATGGGGATTTTCCAAATTTAAAAAAATTGCAGCATCTCTCGCTACAACGGGATTTGGCTTAAAAACTTTTTTTTTTGGAATTCAGTAGGTATACGATTTTGGTATGAGTAGGTACCTTTTTTTTTAGAAGCCAGAGGAAGAATTATATAATTTTAAGAATTTTGTTGTAGGGGCTCCGCAAAGAAACGGGAGGGACCTGGCAAAAGGCTAGAGCAAGGACTTTTTTTCCGAAATGTGTTTAGGGCTCCGTCAAATATTTCGCTTTTCAAAAAGGTTCCAAAAAATTTTGAGAACCACTGCTCTAAATTATCGATTTTTAATTTCCACAACTCTTCTCCACGACATGCCCCTACTACGCCAACAGCCACTACAACCTAAAAAAAAAATCAGGGTGTAATATTTAAGAAAATTTTTATTGGTACCCTATTTTACTTATTTAAAATACGCCTAAGCGTGATTAAAACGAACTTTAAAAAACGCGCGTATTTTAAAGTTACCATGGCAACATCAACAACCCGAGAAACGTGATGTCTAAATGCCAACTTTTTAATTATTGATCTGACAGGAGTGCCTTGTAATGTCAAATAAAATATTTCTGAGAAATTTTTCAAAAAACTTATTCACACATCTAATTGCATGGTCGGATAGTAATAAGCAATACGCTTCCTTCTTCCTTAATATCAGCTAAGCGTAAATCGCACAATTCACATCTTCTACAAGAGCCAATGATGCCACAAATAGCAACCACCTTCAAAAATAAATACGTAATGTCCGGTGCATCTGTAAAAAACTTCCGCAAATCGTCTTCCTCGAGTACATATGCCTTCTTGACTACCTCATTTTTACTAATTGCCTTCATGAATGCATGCACTTTGACGAACGATTTTATATCGACCCCTTTGTTTATCCTCAACATTCTTTGTAATTTTGAATGGATAGTCCGAGGGCTTAGTGTCAAACAACACTAACTACAAAAATTGCATTTTTTAGCTTAACGCTTTTTTGCACTTAAAATATCCTTATTTGTTATGTGACAAACAATCTTATCTCTCCTATAATTGGTATCTAAGATAGACTAAACTTTAACTACAATTTATGGTTACCCACTTAATAACAAACAACGTTAAAAGAGTTAGTGTTTTATTATTTCTGTTTGATTAAGACTCAAAGTACGTTATGAGCTGTTAACTTTCTTTGACTCTTAGGAGTTACACGTTAGTATGTCAATAACGTCGTTCTACTTTAAAATTTTGTGTAGGAGTTAAAGAAATAGTTAAAGCCCTTCAGTCGATTTTTGTCTTTGGAAGGGTATGTAGTTAGTAGAGGTTATGTAAGTGCTTTTTAATGTTAAAACTTTGATTCTGTAAAGGTATTAAAAATGAAGAGAAATCAAAAAATTCTTCAGGCAGCATTAAACAAATGTACTCTATACGTGAATAGTGCATCGCGATCTACTGATAATAGAAACTGCACTATTGTTATCCCGAATGATAATGAAAGTTTTCGTGAAAATACAGCTGACAATCTGGTAAGTACCTAAAAATTAATGTAAAATTATGTAAGTTGTGTGGTTGGCAGGTCTTTATTTGTTGGTTTTATAGAGCATGTTTCGTTATTATAATAATATGATTTAATAAGAGTGTACATCGTGTATTCATCATTAAAAATGCCATTCATCGTGGTCGCACATGGTTTACACTTTGCGCGCCAATATTGCCTCGTTAAGTGCTCACTGATCAGAATCGGTCCGGCCCAAATGTGTTTTAAAATCAAATTTCGCAGCCTTTGAATACAATTAAAAACTAATTATCTGAAATTTAACTTCAAGGCATGATTCTGTTTTTAAAAATATTTTTTTTGTTGTAAAGTCATATTTTCAAATAAATATAAATTGGGATTCTAATTTTTAAATCGGTTTTAATAATGATTTATTTACACTAAGTACACACAATTAAGAAAAAAACATAAACATTGCATGTATTAGATAAAGAAAAAATTTTACCCAGTGAAACCAGCTTTTTGTTGTCTGATTTACATATTATGGATTAATTTATGTAACATATATTATTATATGGTCCCTCACTAGAGAAACTTATCAATATCCTTTAACAAGTCTCGGGTTTCTTATTTTTAAAATGAAAGGTTCTTTCCCTAGAAGTTTCAAGTTCGTTGGACTACCCAATTTATTTATTACACTGTGGTCGGCCGCTTCTTTGTGGCCACTTCTTTGTGGCCGACAGTAATAACATATTATATAAAATGTATTTACAGGAAACAGAAATACCAGATTGCTTCACATATTATACTACAGATGAGGCATGTGTCACTTCAAACAACTGTGGTAGTATTCAAATTTTTCCTGGTAAAAGCACCTTGGGCTTAAAAGGCAGTGGAGACCAGAGTTCTGATATTATCAATGAATTTCACGACAGTAATCAGCAGGCAAGTCTTATTCAGATAAATAGCTTACATATATTTTTAATATTATAGAAGTTTGTTGTTTATAAGTAATGATTTAAAATATAAATTAGATACCTTTTTCTTGTAGAACTGCGATACAGTTTCAAACTTTAACGATATGGTGGAACACACATCCTGCAAATCTGCAAATATTAATTTCACCCTATCATGATATTTTACAGACAACGGGGAGACCTCAGGTACAATTAATAATAATTTTAATTACTTGTTAAGACTTTTATTAAAGTTTTTTTATTAAGGTAATACTAAAAGATTTACTTTTAGATCGACGAGAACATAGATTATTCCTCAGGAGACTCAGTAGCTGATCCAAATTATTATAAACCTTCTTCGTCTGATGAACAAAATTCTAGCGATGAACTAATTCCAAGAGTAAGTTTGCTTTTGGTAATTGATTACCTGCCCTAACAATAAAAATATATTGTTATTTTAGCTAAACACTAATAAAAGGAAACGTAAAAAAACTTATCATGTGTTAACTCCAGTCACTACAAATTATGAGCCAGACGAAGTAGAACAAGTACCAGAAAATATTGATATGGAAACAACTAACGCCAGTAATGACACTGAAGAGAAGACAAAGGTAAAACGAAAAAAAATAGCTGTACCAGAAGAATGGTCTCGAAATAAATTAAAGCTAAACATACGATGTGGAAAAGAACACAAATCTATGAGCAGCAACAAGGTCATACTCGCAAAAAGACCCCTTTTAAAAGATTGTTCAAAATGCCCAAGAAAATGTAACACAAACTTTGATGAAGAAGAACAAAATGTGCTAAATAAAGAGTACTGGAAATTGGGTAACATTGATCTACAAAGACAATATCTTAGTGGCCTAATCGATGAAACAGAAAAATCTTCTACAAGAACTGCAAGTACATGCTCGAGAAGGCAAAAAACAAGAGTTTTTTATTTGATTAAAAATAACGGTTCTAATACCGTTGTTCAAAATATTATTAGAAAAAGAAATGACCAAAATATTGTAGAAAAAGATGAAAGAGGAAAACACACTCCAGGTATAAAGTTACCAGAAGACTCAAAAAAAGTTATTTGCGACCATATTAATTCCTTTAAAAGAGTTCCCTCACAGTATACCAGAAAAGACAGCTCAAAAGAATATTTACCAGGAGATCTTAACCTTGCAAAAATGTACGACATGTATGTAGAGAAATGCGGTGAAGAAAAATTAAAACCGGAAAAACTTTGGTTTTATCGTCAAATTTTTAATACTAAATTTAATATTGCGTTCCATATTCGTAGAAAAGATTTATGTGATACCTGTTTTATCTACAAGAATTCAAATGATAAAGAAAATATTACGAGATCTAAAGAGTACGAAAAACACTTGCAAAGAAAAGAAAATGCACGAGAATATAAGAATATTTTTAAAGAAAAAGCAATTAAAAATGAACTTCATTTCTGTGAATTTGATTTTGAAGCTGTACGATACTGCCCTCAAATAAAAACAAAGGCAATTTTTTACAAAAGTCGGTTTGCGGTTTTAAACATAACTGTATATATCGTTACATCTCGAAGGGCCGAAAATTATGTATGGCATGAAGCATTATGTGGACGCGGGGCGTCAGAGGTGGCATCTTGCCTGTTTAAGTACATGCAGCTTCACCATGATGGAAAACCTTTTAGCTTTATGTCTGATACGTGTGGAGGACAAAATAGGAACGTCATTGTTTCTGCAATGTTTATATACGCGGTCGAGGTTCTCAAAATTCCAACAATCGATCATATATTCTTTGAACCAGGCCATTCACAAATGGAATGCGATTCGGTTTACGCTCATATCGAAAAGTCAAACAGGGACTTGGAAATATATGATCCATCGGGATGGTATACAGCCATAAGAATGGCTTCCAAGCAAAAGAAGTACGATGTAACAGAAATTAGTCAAATTGACATTCTGAATTTCAAAGAATTTGCTGCCAAAATAGTTAAAAATAGAAAGGTTGATTGCGACGGAAACAACGTAAGATGGTTAAATATTGTATGGTTTCAGTACAGAAAAGATGACACTAATCATATTTATTTTAAGTATGATTTTAATACTAGAGATTTTCACCAGTTTAAAATACAAAGACGACCAAGTAGGTTTTCTGATCTTAAGAATGCGGAACTTAAACAAAAATATAATGGTCCCATTCCTATTGACAAGAACAAGTTGGCAGGCTTACACGAGCTGTGTCGAAAAGGTATCATAAAAGAACCTTACCATTTTTTTTACTACAGTCTTCAAGAAGGACATCAGAATAAAGATAACAACGAAGATTTGTAGATAAAAATATTATATGTCTTAATGAACCATTTTTTGTAAGTTTTAATATTTTGTAATGCAATATTAAATTAATAAAAATTCTTCACAAATATAATATTAAACAATAATTTTTTTAAAAACACTGGAAATAAACGTTATATCAAATAAATTACTAAATATCATCTTGGACATTAACGTTTTCGCACCTAAATTAATAAATGTCAAACAACGTTATCTTCGCATTTATTAATCAATATTTTTTAATTGGGAGTATTTATTACAAAAAGCTTACCAAAATCTATCTATACCTTCTAAAAGTGTTAAAGTTTAATTTAATTTTTTTTTGTTAACATATTCCTAGTAACTTATTTTCTAAAGCAAGTGAAACATCAGCTGATACAGTTTTTCGCTATTTATGCAATATGACAATTTTGTAATTAGTGTTGTTTGACACTAAGCCCTATGTCATAGTCGATACTTTATATTGTTCCGACATTATCTGGAGATAGCGAGAACAACTCGTTCATCTATATGTGTAACCATTTGCTCTTCCATCCACGTGTTGAATTTATCGTATTCTTTTTTATAAACCGCTTCGGATTTTTGTGGTATTAAGCGCGATTCTGCTTTATTATTTAAATACTCAATATTTGAACTCATTTTAAACAATAACAACTGTTGCGACAATTAATCTTACGTGACAGATTGGAAATAAATTTTTGTTTGTCTCATTTTCATGACAACGAGGTATACTGATGTTACATCACAAATTCAACCATTTTTAGTTATTAGCTCTTATTTTCATTTTTTTGTAGAAATAATACCAATATTTAGGATTACAAAGTATACCAATAAAAAAAAAAAATAGCGTAAAGTATTCGTGGATAACTGGTCTATAAAACACTTGCTCTATTTCGCGCGTGTTTTAAAGACCGTTATATCCACTTATACTTTAATATACTATTATTAAAAAAGAAAAAAAGTAAAAAAAAGAAAAAAACGGTCCAGCACGGTTCTTGAACCCTAGTTCCATGTGTGCAAAGCGGATACACGTACTACTGCACCACTGAGCCTTTCTTTAACAGATTTGTTAGAAGTACATGTACCTATCTAACAGAATTTGAAAAAGAATTTTTAATAATTATCTAATTCATTTTATCTACTAAAAAACCCACTGATTACAAAAAGCTATGTTAATTCGATGAAAAAAGTGAAAGAAATTCTAAAAATAGTTCCGTCTAAATAAGCTTTTTCCGATATCTCTGAGGAGTATTATCAAAATCGTCACTACTATCAGTATCCATATTATTTATTATAAATTGGCATGTTTTATTAAAATAATTTTTAACGGAAATTTCGATTTTTATCAAAGTACGAATGAAAACTACTTTAAAAATTTAAAAAACTATAATCATCTGACAGTTGTGACAACTATTTAAAGCTGAACAGCAGCCAACTAAGTTTTTGTCAATTTTTGTTGATTTTCCATATAAATGTATGTGGTGTGGGCAAAGTGCCGTAAGAAAATATATTTCTCACAGTATGAGCAATACATGGATTTAAAATTAAGTAAGCTATGAGAAATAGGCTAATTTTCAAAGCAGTTGTATTAAAAATCCTTTTACAAGCATTTTCTGTCATCCGGTTTAGTAATTACGCATATTTAAGCTTTTAAATTTATCATTAACACTATAAAAATCATTTTATTCATCCCTTCTTTACCTATCAATGTGTACACATCTACAACTTGAGATTGAGATTTTTTCTTTCTCCGATTTAGAACTGAGATTAAATATTTTTAACTGACAGCAGAGAAAACAAATTGTATACACCTTACTTGCGGCATTTCATACCTACCAAAAACTTTCTGTTGAACTTTTAAATCCAGAATTATATAATTTTCTGACAAAAAATACGCAACAAACAACACAATAATGATATAATGAATAATTCGGTCTTTATACCTTGTTTCGCAATTTTGCTTTTTTCATTTCTCATTTCGCCAAATGTTATATTTTATTACCCGTTCAGGAGTGCCATTTTTCTGAAAGTGAACCAACCGTGCGAACCATAGAACAAAAAGTATAATGTAACAATATAACAGTGAAGATAAAAATGGCTCGACATCATTAAATATAACTTCTACTGCTGAAAATACACCTCAGCGACTTAAATTTCACTTTAAGGCTAACATTTCTTGAGATAAGACTTAATTATGACCGCCTTTTACGTATTTCGGTTTGGGTTTGGTTTCGCTACGCCTGGCGGATCCGAGCCCGTTCTTTTTCGGAGACGGAGAAAATTCTGAAAAACGGCAGTTCGTGCTTCCTATATGAAAAATCGGCTTCTATTTATCTCGCTAGTGTGTGAGAATGCACGGAATTGGTCAACTTTATCGGAAACTTTACAAAGGAAGTAGATATAAGACGGAAATTTGTTTAATATGCACCTAGTTTATTTACCTGGATTATTCAGTAAATCCGTGTCGCTCCATGCAGTGAGAGATCAAGATAATAAGATTAACTTCCAAATTTTAAGCAAAAAATACCACTTTGTTATACAGGGGAGACAAAAATAGGTGCTTAAGAATAAGGGAACACTCTCGAAAATCTTAACAGTAGATGGTTAGCGTACGATTCAACTTAGAAAAAGCCACGGACGTCATCACCTAGTCATCGTCTGCCTCACCAGTATCGTAGGCTCTTATTTAAATAAGAATTAAAGCAGTTTCCCAACAAAAAACATTTATTGGATTAAATAGTTAAATTTTAATGATTTAAACATTTGTATATTACCTAAATAACTAAACTAAAATAACATTACATATATTTTTTGACTTTAGACTTGCAAAACATTCAGTGGGAAGTAAATAAAAATAGCATCACAATTTTGTAATTTAAGATTTTTATTACAATTAAAATAATAGTTATTTATGCAACTAGTGCAAAAAGTGAAACTAGAGGAGTACATCCTAGTTCGATTGTTAATGAACTATTATACTCTGTTGTTAAACTAAGAGGAGCGATTTGAATTTAAGTTGGCAATTCTGTAGCCTTCTGATTGGTCAGATTACAGTCAGTTTCACACATTACTTTTTAGCATGAACATCAGCTAATAACTGATATTGTTGACAGTTCTGACATTTTATAATTTGATATCTCATCCATTGCTTAGTTTTTTACTTTATTTCGTAAATAATATTTCTTCAGTAAGCAATTGTATTGAAAATCTACAATTATGGATCCTTCTACACTGAGTACTATTAAATGTAGCAATTCCTGAGAAGCCTTACAAGAAAAGGAAGACACCTTATTATTTTACATGCTGATTCTGAAGGTTTTGTAGAAAATGCATTATTGGTTTTTGAAGGCAAAAAGATGGGAGATTACCATGAAGAGAAGAATTTTAAAGTATTTTAGAAATAAATTATTTTATTACTGATTTTTTAAAACTAAAAATTGATGAATTTCTAACCAAAATGATTAAAATGTAACTAAATATTTAAGCAAATTTTATTTATTAGAATAGAATAAAACTATTTACAAAATTGTTATACCATTTAAAACACCATCTACTACTTTAGGGATAATCTTAATTCGGCAACATTAC